AGTATTATAAAAAAAATACAACTCTATTCAATATTTAAGAGGGCATTATACAAAAAATATAGACTTATTTAATATTAAAGTTTAAAAGACAAATTCAAAATATATCTAACCAAATACAAGAAGAAATTTGATTGGAATTGATTTTTATTAATTAGGAATAAATTAGTAATTAAGAACGGGTTTTGATGTTCTTGATGTTCTTGTCTTTGTACTTTTAATGGTTATGAGGGTATCTTAACCATTGAATTTTGATTTTCAGTAACCATTCTTACTTTTTATTTTTTTTTAAATGATCTTTTTTATGATGTTATATAATATAATTCATTATGTGCTACATAATCTAATTTTTTACGCGAGTGCCACCAAAAAAAAGGATTAGAGAGTTTGAGATGAAGAAGGGAAGCGCGAGAGTGGAGAAGAGGAAAAGTTGAGAGAGTGAAATTGATGAAAGATTAGGGTTTGAGTATTTTATTTATTTTTATTTTTAAGATTAAGAAATTTAAAATTTAAAATTAATTTTTAAATAATCTAATAAAAAATAAATAAATAAAGTTTGGGTCATTTTGGGTGATCCAACCCATTTGGGTTTGGATAATTTCAGTTTAAGTCATTTTGGATTTCAGATTAATATATATGACTCATAACCCTACCTATAATAAATGAGTTGTATCGAATTTTCGGATTAGGTCTAATTTTACCAAGTCTATCCAGAGGCTGTTGTAGTATTACACCATAAGATGATGGTGATTGTCTTTTGAACGCATGAGGGGCTGCTAAGAATTGAAAAACTCCTCTCTGTGATTAGGTGAATAATAAGAGTTTGAGTAATCCTCCTACTTAAGCAATAAAATCTCTTTTAGTTAGTTATATATATATATATTTTAAGAATACAAACATAAAAAAACCATTAAAATCTTTATGAGGTTAATTCCTGCCCTTTGAATTTTCTATAATCTACTACACTTAAAGAAATAATGATAAATACATTCCTCAATTCAATTAATTAATTTATGGTGCATGTTGATATGTATGGGGTGTTTGTTTTAATATTTTGTAAACAATTATTAATTGTTAATTTTAGTTAAATTGATTAAATATTTTTAATTATAAATAATAAAGATTATCAACTGTTACATATAAATTATCAATTATATTTAAATAGTTAATTCAAATACTCATTTATATAAACTCAATTTTTAAAGGTATACCTTAATTAATAAGAATTTAAAATTTTAAATAAAAATTTGGGTTTAAATTTAAATTTTAAAATTTAAAATTTAAATTTAAAGAAGAGTATAATGGAATTTAAGAATGAAAAAAAAGGAAGAAATTATTCAATATTTACTTGAAAATAGAGCTAAATTCTGTCTCTTACATGTGTTCTCGTTTCTTACCCAAAAAAAAAAAGTGTTCTTGTTCTCAAATTCTATGATCTACTCAATTTAATGTCGTGGAGTGCCGTACCAATGAAATACAAAAATGAGATATATGGGATTGGGACTGAGTCCCTATCCAAGATGCCAACATTTACATTAGTTATAATCAAATCTAAAGACGTCGGAATGTCCTAATTAACTTTGCCATAATACGGCCAAGGCCAACCCTACCTGGGGCTGGACGTGGGATGCGACACTCTCACCACGTGGGTATTTCTTCACCCTTGCTTGATTAATAAATAACCTGTTCAAATCTAAATATCTAATGGCTGTGAACAAAGAAAGATGAAGAGGAATTAATTAATTTAGCTTTGAAAATTCTTATTAAAAAAAAGGCTCTGAATATTAAGTGCTTAATTTAATATTTGTCTTGTCTAATTAATCTGATTAAGACCTGGATGGGGTCACGGCACACATGCCATTTTGCACGGCTTTAGTTAATCATCATCATTTGGTAATTGAAATTTCCGAACCCTTTAATTCCTTGTTGCATTTGTAAACTTAAGGATTATTTGTTTTCTTCATATGAATGTGGAGTGTGGCCTAGCTAATTTTATCTTCACAATACGGTTTGAATTCAGGAGCATTAGTGGTTTGAAGTGATTTTATCACTGTTATAAAAGACTTTTACACTCTTGTATTAAGAGTTTAATATATTTATTTTAATTTTTTTCATTACCATTTCAAATAATATATAAAAAAAAGTTTGAGTTTGAATTTGAGTTGTCTAACAATGAAACTTATCGTTAGAGTAAGGTTATGGTCACTAATTAAGATGTTAAGATCATAAAAAATTATAAAATATTATTTTTAAAATATTAATCTTATTTAATTTAATTGATAAAAATAATTAATAACTGTAACTATTAATTAATAATTAATAGAATAATTGATATTTATTAATTAACAAATTAATTAACATTAGTTAATAAATCAATATTTTGAAACACTTTAAAAAAAGAAGAACTAAAAAGTTAATAATCATAACAAATTGATAGTAACCACACCCTCACCCCTTGCTATATGATCTTTGTTCCTTTATTAGGTTCCTAGACATTACTCCAGCATGAGCTCAAAGTCAACTCAGTCATGGATCCACTACTAAGTGGAAATAATAGAGACATCCACCCAAACATTCCAACGATTGGAACCCTTCTTTAGGATCTTTTTTTGCAAGGATTTACAACTAAGGTTTAAATGGTAGCCATGATGCCATCAGAAAAAAAGGTTGGGATGTAGGTGTAAAGATGTTAGAATTCCACACGAAACCTAAAGCAAAAATGGTTGTGCTTTATAAATGTGACTCAATTCTTTCTCCAATAAGCACTTTTGGGGTCATAATAAGCTTTATAAATCAAAATAGATAATATCTATATGTTATAATTTAATTTTTAGTGTCAAATATGGAGGATTAGTGACATATTTAAGCAATAAAACATTTGAATGATATTAAAAATTAAATTGATAATTGTATTTTTCACATAGAATAAAATTAATGTCACAAGGTTGTAAATTTTATTTTCCCCTAAAAAAACAGTAATTCAAGAAAAATGGTACTACCAAAATACTTAGTCCGGATGTGTCCTGGAGGTAAAGGGTTTCAAATAAATTATGTCCGAAAAAGAAAATTAAAAAAGAACTGAAATATAAAATAATGGAAACGGAAAGAAACACAAGGTTTATAGAAAGAGAATACACTGAAAAACACACACAAATACACTAAGAACAAATCCTAATTTGGGAGCCCCCTTCCTTCCCTCACTGTTCCATGCGCTACCGCCATCGCCGCCGCCATCACCTCTTAGGGTTTCTTCCGGTATCAGCCAGGCTCTCCCTCCTCGTTCCTTATACAATCTTACGAGCTGGATTCTCTCTGCTTCCTCAGGCGAATCTCCATGTGCCGCTGGTTCAGCGGCTTTGTTGATTGAGGCACAAAAAGTCTACCAACAGCTTCTTTCCTTGATCGATTTCAGAAGCCTAGGGTTTTTGTATGGTTTTCATTTAGGGAATTGTTGAGATTTAATGGTTTTGTTTGGATTTGGATGGCATTGGGCGGGGATTTAATGGCTTCACGATTTTCGCAATCATCCGATGCAGTGATGTCCAATCACTTGGAAGATTGCGGCGGGGATGCTGACGAGCTGTCCCAACAAAGGGATTCTGATACTGCCTCTACGAGTAGTTACGTCAATGCAGCGTCTGCTGCAACCACTAGCATGCTGTATTTGCCCCAGACTGTGGTATTATGCGAGCTTCGACACGATGCCTTTGAAGCTTCCACGCCAACAGGTCCGTCGGATAGCGGTCTTGTCTCTAAATGGCGTCCTAAAGACCGAGTGAGTACCCTTTGTCAAGTTAAAATTTTTTCCTTGAAATTTCTTGACATTGGATTTTTTTTTTTTTTTTGGGTTCTTGTAGTGCTAGGCTTGCCTGATACGGTTCCTGGTATCATAGGGAGAGGAAATATGTGCATTTACTCGTACTTGAGCAAAAAGTTTGAATTTTTAGCGTTTCAAAGATCAAATAGTGGGTATAAAAGATGGATTTTGGGTGAAAATAATGTTTTAAGATCTAGTGTTTATGCCAAACGCGCACGTTAACCTGAAATGTTACACCAAATAAAAGATGCTCTTCTGAAGCAGGCTTCAAATTTCCCCTTAAAATATTCTATCCAACAATTTTTAAACTTGATGCCTGGCAATTTTCTTTGTGGTTCATTGCATGGAGCATATGTGATGATGTTGATTGCATTATAAATGCCAAAATAATTGATAACCCTATTAATGAAACCAAATGCGTTCTTTTTCCTTTTAGCTGCATGTTAAGCATGAAATTCTTGAGATGTTCTTGGCAGTGGCTCCATCATATATACATCATGTAGTTCTAACTGAAATTTAGCTTCAAAACCCTGGCTCTATATTTCCGTTTAGTATTTTTCTCTTTAAGAACTAGGGACGCCTTGCAACTATAATAGACTCAACTTTGTAAGAAATGGGCTGATCCTTTGACAAAAGCTTAATTCATGAAATGCACCCTTTTGACTGAGAAGGGCAAGATAATTTGAATGGATCATGGACTTCCAACATTTTTTTCCTTTGGATATCCAATATATGTTTTGCAATCAAATTTGATTTGTGAACTCAATTGATGATCTGAGTCTTCTTTGCCTCTTGGTGCTCTAGCCATATGGGATCTGTTTGAAAAATGCTTTCTAGTTATTCTATGACATCATCTGGACTAACATTTAGCCTTACCCTTTCTGTTTAACCCTCTTTAACTTGGAGGATTGAAACTTGTTATAAAGTTATTTATTATATTATTTAAATAAATAAGATGGTATTGTGGAAGGTGGAAGTTACAAAATAATGAATCTTGTTCCTTTGCCAATGAAATCCTTACATTCCTCTTTGTCTCCTTTATATAATTTATATATATTTTTTTCAATTTTCTCCCTTTTATTATAATCTCTTGCTGTTTGCTTCTGATGTGTGGCAATTTATTATATTTCTTTTTGTTCTTGATAAATATTATGAATGATTAGTTAAGAATTTCTATTCAACTTTGAATTTGTTAGATATGGGCAAGCTTGCATTCAAGAATGGTATTTATTTTATGTTGACCCTTTTGACTTAGCTCTAAAATTTAACTGCAGATGAAGACAGGATGTGTAGCTCTTGCTTTATGTTTGAACATTAGTGTTGATCCACCTGATGTAATAAAGATTTCCCCTTGTGCAAGAATGGAATGTTGGATAGGTATGTTTTTATTTTTATTTTTTAAAAAAATTGATTCTCTCCTCCTGGTTTTATTGATTTGCTGGGTGCTGGTTCTTAAAGCATTAGAACCACAAAGAAGTATTTATCAGATTTTCTCTCCTGCCTTTCATCTCATTGACAACCAAATAATGTATGTTTTAAAAATAATTGATCTTTGGTGAAAAAAAGAAGTATTGATTTGTTCTACTTAGTTTTATGTTTTCGGTGATTTTGATCTTTCCGGTTGTTGGCAGATCCTTTTTCTATGGCACCACCAAAAGCACTTGAAACAATAGGAAAAAACATGAGAGATCAATACGAAAGGTGGCAACCAAGGGTGAGATAATTTTTTCATTTGATATTTCCTTTTTAGAAGTGCTGTTTCAGGTTTATACTTTATACTCCAATTTACTTTTTGTTGTTATGGCCAGGCTCGCTATAGGGTTGAACTTGATCCTACTGTGGATGACATGAGGAAACTTTGCGATACATGTCGCAGATATGCAAAGTCTGAGAGAGTTTTGTTTCATTATAATGGACATGGTGTGCCAAAGCCAACTTGTAACGGTGAAATCTGGGTATTTAATAAGGTATTCCACGATTCCTTTGTTTCTATGGGGTGTTGCCTGCACTGTCCTTTTAAACTATTTGCTAAACTTTGTTATTCCTCTGACCTGTGTTGTTATGTGCAGAATTATACCCAATATATCCCATTGCGAATTAGTGACCTTGATTCCTGGTTAAAAACACCATCTATTTATGTTTTTGATTGCTCTGCTGCTGGAATGATTGTTAATGCATTCATTGAGGTATTTAGAACTGCTGACCTTTTAACGTATTAACATGATCTTTATTGATTCCCATAAATTAGGAATTGTTTTCACTACTCCATTGTTCTAAATCAACAAACTTGCATTGAAATTTGTTGGTAGCTTAATGACTTGGGTGCTTCTAACTACTCTGGATCTGCTCGTGATTGCATTATGCTTGCTGCATGTGAAGCACATGAGACTCTTCCTCAGAGTGCTGAATTTCCTGCTGATGTTTTTACATCTTGCCTCACTACACCAATCAAAATGGCATTGAGATGGTAATCATTTCTCATTGTATTTAATATTTTTATTTTTATTATTATTTTTTCAAAATGAGATAATTTTGTTGCCATGTTGATGATAATGTGACTTTTTTTAATTACAATATGCCTTTTGGGTCCCCTACCGCAGTGCTGTTAATCTTGTTTTCCTTAGATTATTATTATTTGAAATTTTACACCTATCCAAATGAAATATACATTGATGCTGGACAAAATCTTGGTGAGCTCAGGGTTTCTTTAGTTTGTGTATGTATGTGTTTTTTTGTATGCTGGTTATATTGTTTTTGAATTCTCTGGCAGTAGTTGGATTCAATTAATTGTTTGATTTTGATGTTTTGTTTATTTTCTGCTGTTGTTTCATCTTCTATATTGGCCTTTCTAACTTTCCAATGATAATTATCTTGTCCAGGTTCTGTGCACGGTCATTGCTTCGTGAATCTCTTGATTATTCTCTTATAGATAAAATTCCTGGTCGCCAAAATGACCGCAAGACGCTTTTAGGGGAATTGAATTGGATTTTTACAGCAGTTACTGACACAATTGCCTGGAATGTTCTTCCACATGGTATTTACTTGGATATACTTAACAGCAGTCACTTTGGTTGATGTCAGCATCCACATCTATCTGTAATGCATGTTGTCAAATTATTCAGTACTTACTTTTCCACTGCAGATCTTTTTCAGAGACTGTTCAGACAAGATTTGTTAGTTGCCAGTCTGTTCCGAAATTTTCTACTTGCTGAGAGAATCATGCGCTCTGCAAATTGTTCCCCTATTTCCCACCCGATGTTGCCACCAACCCATCAGCATCATATGTGGTACTGCTTGGGATACCTTTTAGTGTTATTACTTATTATTTGTCTGTTGATTCTTTTATCATTTTGTCTGTTTTCTGTGCTGCAGGGAAGCATGGGACATGGCTGCTGAAATTTGCCTTTCTCAGCTTCCATTACTGGTCGAGGATCCTAATGCAGAATTCCAGGTATAGTTTTATAGTTTTATTCAAGTGCTTCTTATACCATTGTAAATTTTGTGCCCTGAACTTACATTATTTCTGAAAGTAGACACAAATTTTATAATTATCAAGAAGAATAGATCGTTTTTGTTTCTTCTAAGCCTGCTCTGAATATTTATTCATTTTTTTTCCAGCCAAGTCCATTTTTCACAGAGCAGCTCACCGCTTTTGAGGAGTGGCTTGACCATGGATCCGAGCATAAGAAGCCACCAGAGCAATTACCTATTGTGCTTCAGGTGTTGTACATATCCTTTGTCTTTCTAGCTTTTAGGACCTTGTGTTTAACTTTATTATAGTGATTTTAAATCTTATATTAAATGTAGGTATGTGATTTAACTCTTTTATTCCTGTTTGTTTTGTTTTTCAAGAGTAAGGTATTTGGGCTAATATTTAATTTGTTTACTTTAATAATTAATTTTTTGCACTCAAATCCTTTAATAAAATGAGTTTGGTTTATGTGTGTTTGTTAGTAGGATGGTCCATTAGAATTTAATCAAGCCTTGCAACCATTGAGTACTTTACATTGGCATGTTACTCACCATTGCTTACTTTAATAGTTATTAAATAATTCTGAAGTAATTATTGATCTTCTTGAGATGTGTGTTTCAGGTTTTACTTAGTCAATGCCACCGTTTCCGTGCACTGTTTCTACTTGGAAAATTCCTTGATATGGGACCATGGGCTGTAGATCTGGTATTATTGTTGAATCTACTTACTATTGTAATTAGCTTTCTGGTTGTGGCTTGCAATGTATAATGTTGCTAAGTGGAGGTGTTTTTTGTTTTTTGTTTTTTTAAAAAACTGTAGGCCTTATCTGTTGGGATATTCCCTTATGTTCTGAAGCTTTTACAAACAACTACACCAGATCTACCTCACATCCTTGCATTCATATGGACAAAGATTCTGGCACTTGATAAGGTATTTTTGGAGATGGTTCTAGTTTGAAACAATGAAACAAATATTCTTCATGTAGCTATTTTGGGCATTTTAATGTGCTTGATTTTGTGCTGTGCTAACATATAGTAATGATTGGTATGCTTTATTACTTTGAATTTGTCAAGATTATATAGGTACTTATGAATCTTAATGTATAGGCTTTTATATTGCTGTCTTTATGTGTTTGCCTCTGTATAACACACTTTATGTTGAAGTAAAGGTGTGATGTAGCAGTCAAAGAATTGAACTACTTAATTATTGTTGCATAATTCCAATTTTTACAATTAGGCTTATGTTTTATAATGTATGGGTATTTTCATGTTGATGCATAGATTTATAATTTCTTTATATCCTTTTCTCTAGAGGTATTAACCTAATTTGGTTAGGTTTGGGTCATTTTATGTCTCTAGAATTCTGATTTTTGTTCTGTTTGATTCTAAGTTGGTTAGTTACTTATTATTAAGGTTAAATCACTAAAACCCTAATTATTTATGATGAAAAATTTATATCACTCCTAAAGTTTAAAGAAACTGTCCCCCTGAGATACAATTTGTTTCTTGTGTTGGTTTTGGGGTGGGGGTCTCATATTTCTTCTTCTCCTTCTCTTTGTTTTTTTTTTTTGGAAAAATGTAATTTCACCAAAAAAAAATCTTAGGGAGGAGAGGATTGCAAGAATGTGACCTTATTATTTTCTATTTTGGAATAGTAATTGAGTTAAGTGATATTCTATGCATGCCTTCTATCAGAGAGCAGACATATTTATGAAAGAAAGTATGAGTATTTAGTTTCATTGGGCCATTCCTGGAAATTTTTTGTGAGCTCTTTTCCTTTTCTTGTGGTTTTATTCTCTGTTTAAACAAGGTGCTCTTTTGTTCTAGTTTTTCTTTTCTTGTTCTCTTCGAAAATTCTTCTTTGCATTCTCTAACACTAGCTGCTATTCTTACCTCAGTAGTCTGAAAGCCTAGCTTTCCAATGGATCCTTACCCTGGTTTTTTTCAGCTGTAAACCTGTACTATGCTCCAGCAAAGTCTGCTTGCTATCCGGTGGGGAAAAAAAGGAAGTCCACTTGGTACAAACTGTCTGATTGTTGACCCTTTAGGAATCAGAGTCAGATTTGACTGTCTTTGTTGTTTAACCTTTTGAGGTTATAAAACATTACCAAAATAGAAATGTGTTTTTTATGCCAAACTTTTTGTTTTATCCATACATGGCCAATGGGCCTGGCCTGGGACTGACCTGGGTCAAACCTGGCCAGGACAGGCCTCTATGGAGGTCCCCCCAATAAGGTTATTTTTAGGGTATTTTGTTACAAATGAATTCTAAGGGTGTGCTTGAAATACCAAATTTACCCTCCCAAGTGGCCATATAATTGCCAGTTCTATGGCTATTTTGGTTCAAGGTAAATTTTCTTACTTACAATTATTAATAATAGATGGTTAGGACTGGCATGAACCAGAACCAGGACCAGGACTGGCCACATCTCTACAGGCTGCTTGATGGTCCTAGGTATTGCCAACCCAGGACGGCTGGTCTGAAACTGGCTTGAATGTCATATATGGTTTTTTCTGGGCATTACATGTTTCTGTAGATCACCTGCAATTTCTACAACAATAATTTGAAATTCTGTTCTTTTGGGATGGCAGTCATGTCAGGTAGATCTTGTGAAGGATCTTGGACATACATATTTCATCAGGTTTCTTGACAACATGGAAGCGTTTCCTGAACAGCGTGCGATGGCTGCATTTGTTTTGGCTGTCATTGTGGATGGTCATAGAAGGGGCCAGGAAGCCTGCATCGAAGCAGATTTGATTAATCTTTGCTTGAAGCACCTTCAGGGTTCTGTGCTGCCACATGATTCACAATCTGAACCCTTATTGCTTCAGTGGCTTTGCCTTTGTCTAGGAAAGTTGTGGGAGGATTTTACAGAGGCTCAATTGATAGGCCTGCAGGCTGGTGCTCCTGCCATATTGGCTCTTCTTCTGTCAGAACCTCAACCAGAGGTTTGCCTTCTTACTTTATATTACGTGTCCACATAGATTCTGCATGTTTAATTCCACAATCTAATATGACCCCATATATTTCAGGTTAGAGCATCTGCCATATTTGCTCTTGGTACTCTGCTTGATGTTGGGTTTGATACATCTAGAGATGGTGTTGGAGGTGATGAAGAATGTGATGATGAAAAGATTAGGGCTGATATTATCAAAAGCCTCTTAAGTGTTGTTTCAGATGGAAGTCCACTAGTCAGGGCAGAGGTTGCTGTAGGTATGCTATGATCACCAAAGACACACTAGTAGTTGGATTAATTGTTTCTGTTATTTATTTATTTTTTTTTTTTCAATTTCTAAACAATGTGATAGCATAATTGAATGAAATTTCAATACAAAATGCTTAATCCAGTAAGCATATATTTAAATTTTGATAATCGTAAGCTTCTAATAAGTTTAAGATTTATGCTTTCCGTGACATATAGGTTTTAAGGTGATACCATTAACAGAAACATTTGAGGACATAACCCTAGCTTAGCTACATTTTTGCTTGGACCTCATGTCGGCCTTGCTTTTTCATTGCACAAACATTTCTGGCCTTCTATTGTTTCTGTTTCCTGTTCCCTACCTCTTCTTCATATCCTTGATTTGGTATCTTTTTTCTCATCTTGGCAGCTCTAGCACGCTTTGCCTTTGGACATAAGCAGCATCTCAAGTCCATTGCTATTGCATATTGGAAACCTCAATCTAATTCTCTGTTGAATCCTTTGCCTTCACTGGTCAACATAAAAGGCACAGGAAGTGGAAATATAGCTTCATCCCAGATAGGGCCTTTGACTAGAGTTGGCAATGACAGCCCAGTAGTGCTTCGAGATGGAAGAGTTTCCACTAGTAGCCCTCTTGCCTCTTCTGGAATTATGCATGGATCTCCATTGTCTGATGATTCATCTCAACATTCTGGTTCTGGAATATTGAATGATGGTATCAGCAATGGAATAGTTAACCATTCAAGGCCAAAGCCACTGGACAATGCAATGTATTCTCAGTGTGTATTAGCAATGTGTACTTTGGCCAAGGACCCATCCCCACGAATAGCAAGTCTTGGTCAGCGTGTTCTCTCAATTATTGGGATTGAAATTGAAGTGACAAAAGCAGTGAAGTTGAGTGGTGGCAGTGTTCGGCCTGGTGAACCTACAACTTCTTCCCCAACTCCTAGTCTTGCAGGACTAGTTCGGTCATCTTCCTGGTTCGACATGAATGGAGGTGACTTTTTCTCTTTTTGACAGTTCCATTTGATGATTGTATTCTATTTTATTCTTATCATCACTGTCCATATTCTATTATTTTTTTATCAAAGTTCCATTATATTTTGTTCTTCTTCTTTTTTATTTTGGTGTGTGACATCTGATTTTTTTTTTTTTTGTCTTTTTTGTTCATTTAATTAGCTATTCAAAGTTCTTGAACTTAAACTTAGATATGTCAATGACAGGTCGTCTGCCTTTGACATTTAGAACTCCTCCTGTCAGCCCTCCTCGACAAAGTTACTTTCCAGGAATGCGTAGAGTTTGCTCTTTAGAGTTCAGGCCTCATCTGATGAATTCTCCTGACACGGGATTAGCTGACCCACTTTTAGGTTCTGTTTCTGGGCTATCAGAGCGCAGTTTACTTCCTCAATCAACTATCTATAATTGGAGTTGTGGTCACTTCTCCAAGCCAATTCTTACTGCAACTGACAATGGTGAAGAAATATTAGCTAGAAGAGAAGAGAGGGACAAATTTGCACTAGAGCTTATTGCAAAATGCCAACATTCTTGTAAGTGTTTTTGTTCACTTGGTTGAAGATCCTTACAGTCCAATTATCTAAGATCCTTACTATCTGATTATCACGATGATATTTACTCTGAAACAAATGAGTTTTAATTTCCCTTGCCAGCTGTTAGCAAACTTAATACTGATAAACAAATTGCTAACTGGGATACAAAGTTTGAGACCGGCACAAAAGCAGCTTTGTTGCAACCTTTTGCTCCTATTGTGATTGCTGCAGATGAGAATGAACGAATCAGGTATGAGGCGTTTTCTTGGTTAATATTCTTAGGCAAGCTTCATTCTAAATGTGTTTCCATGATGTGTGATAATTCGTAGCTTCCAAGTGATTGAGGTAATTAATTTAGAAGTCTTAACAAATTAATATTAGGAGTTTTAACATAACCAATCTATGTAGCTAAATTTTCTGACTTCAATCCTGCACCTTGTGGGATGAGGGCTGAAAATATTTAGGTCAATAGCTGGAAATTTATGAGAAGCTTTTGATTTTTTCCTCTTTTGGTACATTTTTTAGCAACAATTATTGACTACAAATATTACCAAAAGTTTGTAACTTTAAATGAATAACAAATTGGTGGAGAGTGTTTCAAAACTTTCACTGGCTAACAGATCTGTCAAATTGGAAATGATGAGCAGGATGAAGCCTGAGTTTTAAATTTGAAATTCATTTGTTACTCTACAAATAAAAGAGATAACAATTGAATTTGATTGCTCTGATCTCTTTTGCTGTGTAGTTTTTCTTGGGTTGAACTGTTACAATTGAGACTTCAGAGTATTTTGGTTGTACCACATAAAATAGTAAAGTATGAAACAGCTTTGCTTTGTCCCAGACTCCCAAGGAGACCAGACCCTTGCTAGTCCCTTGCCTAATCATTATTCTCCAAAGCAGTTTCTGTGAATGTATATTAATCTGAATATTGCTTTAATATAACCAAAATGTTGCTGGCTTCGGAACAAGCTATTTCTCTTTTCTTTTACCCTAATCAGAGAACATCATTGTTTTCTATACGTATTTTTTCTCTCTGAGAATTGATGAAAATTTATTTTTTGAATTTATCATCCTTGTATTTAAATTGAAATTTGTATACTACCTTTTTTGAAGTTTAAGTAATGAAATTTCTTTATAGAGATGACTTTCATGTTGTTTATGAAAATGATAAAGGCTTTTAAAAGGTTTTAACTTTAGTTATGGTTGCTGTTCTTTCAGATATAATAATCTTTATCCTTATTTTATTTGAAATGACTTGGTTTTTTTCTTCTATATCTATACTAATTCTTTCTTTCGTTTTTCCCTCAGGGTATGGAATTATGAAGAGGCTAGCCTGCTGAATGGTTTTGATAACCATGATTTTCCTGAGAAAGGGATTTCTAAGCTCTGCCTTCTGAATGAGCTTGATGACAGCTTGCTCCTTGTTGCTTCATGTAATATTTTTTCAGTGTTTTTGATTGGTTTCATGGTGGTTAGAGGGGTTTATTGGAGTTTTTAATTATTCTATCTCTTTTATTCTTGTTTATTCCAGATGATGGAAATATCCGTGTTTGGAAAGATTATACAGTGAGGGGTAAACAGAAGCTTGTTACTGCATTTCCTTCAATCCAAGGTCACAAACCTGGTGTGCGGAGCTTGAATGCTGTTGTTGACTGGCAACAGCAGTCTGGATACCTGGTACATACTAACTAAGATTTCATGTGTTAAAGTACCATTCACATGATTCTAGTTTTATGCTGAAACTACTAAGATTTGTTTCCTTTCTGTTGCCTCTCTAGTATGCTTCTGGAGAGATATCATCAATCATGTTATGGGACCTCGATAAGGAGCAGCTTGTCAACTCAATACCTACATCTTCAGATTGCAGTGTCTCTGTCTTGGTAGGTTTTATGTCTTTGTTGAACTCCTTTGCAACATAAATCTTGGTTTGGCAATCCTGTTTAAGCTGTGTTTGATTTGGTTGATCTGCTCAAGTTGTGTCTAACAAATTTGCACATATGCTAGTGGCAATGCATTTCCCAATATTAGGGCAAGTTGTTTGTTAAATGACCAAAAAAAAAAAAAAAAAAAAAAAAA